CCCATCCCATCCCTGTCCCTATCCCCCCTGCTCTGTTCAGAGCCCCCCCCTCACCCCATTGTGAGCTCAGTGCCTGGGCTGCCCACCGTGCCGGCAGGGAGGCAAAGTGGGGGAGGTACGAGCGGGCAACCCAAGGCCAGTCCTGGCCCAGCCATCCTCCAGGGAGGGAATTGCCAGGGCTGGGGGCATGTGTGGGAGCAGAGCTGGGTGTTCACGAGTGTCCCAAAGCTCCTGGCCTCAGCGCAGTGTGCCAGGGTCCTTCCTGTGGGGCCATGCCTGCACCACTGCTTGTGGGGCTGCCAAGGGTCCCCACATCCCCTAGAGCAGCCAGAGCAGCCATGCACTGCTCCCTGCCCAGGGTCAAGATGCCACCCTGGGAGCCAGGGACCATGGGGCACAGTCACCCTCGGGTTTGGGAGCAGAACCCTGCCACCACCCCCTAACACCGCTGGTGACCCCATAGCAGCCTCCCAGAGTGACGCCCAGACGCGTCCCTCACGTGGCCCTCCCTGTTTAAGGGCTGGAGCCAGGCAAGAGGGAGGAAAATGCCATCATAATTGCATCCCTCCTAATTATCCTCGGCAGGTGCTCGCTGAGTCAGGGCCGCCCAGGTGCCGACATACTGCGTGGCTGCACCGCCCTGGGCGAGTCAGGCATTCAGGAGCCGTGACGGGTGGGTGCCCCGGTGTCCCTGTGGAGCCAGGAGGGGAGGGTGCTCCTGTGCCCACACTCCCATGCCAGCTGCCCCATGCCCACCTTTGCTGCAGGCTTAGGGGGGCTCTTCTCCCTATGGCTTGCCTCAAGAGGGCAAAACCCAGACCACCTCCTCCCCTCACCTTGATGATCTGCTCAAGGTCTTACTGGCAGCCATGGGCACTCCCTCTCTCTGCGTCCCTGACCCCCACACCAAGTCATGTCCCATCCCACTCTCTCTCTTAACCCTCTGTCCATCTCCTTCCCTAAATCTCTCCCCTCCCCATGCTTACCTTCAGTCACCCATTTCATTCCCTCAGCCCCCCTGTCTCCGCAGCCTCCCCTCCCAGCACCCCTTTGCCGTGTGCCACCAGCCCCCTCGGGTTCATGTCCCCTTTAAGCCTACCCGAAGCTGGAATGCAAGAGGAGCATTTCAGCGCCCTGTGAGGTCAGATAAAGACACTATATTTATCTAGCCGGTAACCTGAGCCGTGAATTTCTGCGGTGGTGTTTTTACTTGGCCCCACAGCCCTCCAGCTCGGCCCCCTCCGGCAATTGCGTCCGCTCCCTGCAGGGTAGAGGAGCTAAACTGTGGGGTGGCCTGTCCCCTGCAAAGGGCTCGGGTGCTGCCAGCCCCACGGCATCGCTCATTCTCCTTCGGCCCCAGGGGAAGCACCCCAAGGAGGCAGGATTGGATCCCCACACTCAGCCCCGCGGGCATCACCCCATGACCAGCCGCTCGCCCCCTGCCCTGCCAGCTTCGTGCCCTGCCGACCCGCACGCAGGTGAGTGGAGGGGATGCCATGGGGACACCAGCCCCGGGGAGGGGGCTGCAGCGTCAGAGATTCAGCGGCTCTGGCAAAACTGCCCCCCTCTTCCTTTGGCTGGGTAAAACCACGGGGGAGAGGTTTGTGGTCTCTACATCTCCAGAGAGCAGGTTCGGAGATGTACGCATGAAAACTTGGCAGCTCTCCGGCAGCAAGCCGCACTCGCCGGCATCTTCCTTATCGCCCAGCATGGTCAGGGCCAGGTGCCCGGGTGCTTCCCTGGGGTCCCTTCTGTTTTTCCACCCGCAGACCTCAAAGCAATAGCATGCCCTGGGTCTTACGTCAAGGTTCCCCATGGGTTTGGGGTTTTACTGCCTGGGGGGTGGCCCAGGAGCTGCAAGTAGCAGGTTCCGCAGCCAGGTGGGTATGTGTCAGCAGCACAGAGCTAGTCCAGGGCAATGACTCCCGGCCAGCACATGTGGTATGAGTTTGGAGGGTTCTCAGGCACAGTGGCTGGTAGGGGAAGGGCCCTGGACAGGCTGGCCCCAGCTGCACGTGTGACCTTGGGCAGGTCCCATCACTCTGGGGTGT